ACATCTGGTGAAAATTTCATGTCATTAGCACCTCTAGTAATATATTTACTGAGAAAAATGTTGGCTTGTTCAATACTTATTTTACCCACTGTATTTGTCCTGCAACTTGTGCTTATAGCAGCCAAACGCTATGTCGTCTGACTCTAACTGAAAATCCTAACTTTGAGTAGAAGAGCTCTCAAAACAAAAAGATTGGGTTTAAGAAAAGTAATTAGTAGAAGAAAAGTACTTTACTTTAACTGGAAACAAACATGAAAAAATGACATCTAACTGGCACTTGTACTCCAAAATCACAATTTTTTCAGGCACATGTACAAAACACACCTTGAGCCTTTCATGTCACAATTGACTACCATGACAGTAAACACATACAACAATACAAACAGGTGATGAGGCAAAGAGGGACACGTTTATGGAAATCAAATGTCAGTAAATCTTATTTCAAAACAGAAACACACCTATCACGTGTAGGTTTATGATAATTTGACACATTTATTAATACTTTACCTCCAATAATGAACCCATTCTTAGATCAAATTGTGGAAAACTTTGAGGTGTTATTAGTGCCACTAAACAAATTAATACATAAAAATCAAATAAATAAATACATCTCTAAAAGAATGGGGGAAAAGAAGATACTCATTGCAAAATCTGAATTCAAACAAAAAAGAGACTCATTTTTACAAATGGTGCCATTTGAAAGCGTGCTCTCCAGCAGACTTTCAGTTATATTGACTGCAATCCTGAAATGAGGGTCCCCACTCAATGTAAACAACGCACTCAGCTAAATCCATCGAAAACCTCGTGGAAGCTTGAGTCCTATGATTGACCTACATTAGGCTGGTTGTAGTCCTCAAATATGACAATTGTGAAAAAGCGTAGTCCCTTGAAAAAGGTATTGGTGATATTATACGAGTGAATCTGCTGCTAAACACAAAACAAACAAGAGCATTTGAGTAAAGCAATTGTCAAGTGTAAACACCAGGAAGCACTCTGGACAGTGGAGCACCATTAAGACAGAGCTCAACATAAAAGTGCGTGTGACATGCATACCATTCAAATACAAAAAGTCAAAGAAAATATCTTATATTTAGGAAATTTGACGTGATACACATCATTTTACACTTTCCTTTAATTTTGGATCAGCCAAAGTGACACAGGAACTGACATCAAAGGGGATCTCTTTAAGAAAACAAACTCCATGGTCTTATTTGATCTCCGACTTTTCTTTTTCTCTTTCAGGAAGTGATTCAAAGTAATCTAAAGAAACATCAAGCTCTTCTCTGTAGTGTGTTTTGTTAGTCATTGTTTACATTCAGACATTCCATTTTGTTACTTCATTCGTAAATACTGTATCTCAACAATGACTCATGTCAGCGGTGCATAATATTTTTTGGTACATGTTTTTAATATAATCTTTCCAAAAATGCATTCATATGTATTACAAAATTCACATGCACTTTAAAACACACATGATTTCTACCAAAACACTTCTTTTAGATAGATAACTAACTTTTCCATTCAGTCCCTTTTGCTCATTCTAAATAAACACGTAATAGTTGGCATTCGGTTGCAAATTTTCCTCAGCCAGGAGACATTTCAATATAACAAATCAACTCACTTTTTTAAACAAACCCCTTGATATTGTCACTACCTACAAATAATGTATCTTGGAATTACTTTGGATTCTCATTTGACTTATCGTGATCATGAACA